GGCAGCAGCGGTCACGGGTACAAGCTTTCGACCAGCATGTACTTCAAAACGGATGACTAGCACCGTACCACAGCGGCGAACTAAGTAAATTCAGACTGTCGAAATATTCATGCAAACCCAATGCACCGGCCGTTGTTGCTTGCTATTTACACTCACACGACGTGTAGTAGTTAGTCGTTCCCCCAGCTATTGGGGACGCAGTGGTTGCCGGCTCCGCGTAGTGCATTGCTGTGCACAAAGAACAAGATAAGCGACTGCCCACTCGAAGTCAATGCGCCGCTCTACTAGCGTTGCGACTTCAGACAAGTAAACCCGAAATGCGAGGGTATCGTGGGCGTGTACTTTCTGTGAAAGGATACGATGGGAACTCTGCGGCAACATGCGCGGGAGAGGAATAGTTCTGGGGGGTGGCAGGCTGTGCAAGCGAGCTCCTTGCAGCGTCCCGCCCGTTGACTGAACACAGAAACACTCGGACAGTATTGTCACAGCAAAATGAACAAAAGGGCTCCACACGGTAAGGTACAAATACACGAGGCAATTGTGCTAAAGTTTACCCTTCTCTGCTCACCTGCAGGAAAGACTGCGGATGGGTAGGAAGTGCCGTCGGAAAGCACCACCTGGTAAGAGCTAGACGCTGGCATTGCTGATTGTTCACCTCCTCCGGCTACAACGTAGCTATTTGCATGCGCCTCTGGGAAGACATAGCCAAGTGCTGACTGCATGTAGCTAGGACGTGTGTAGTCCTCCATGGTATTGCCCGCGCGTCGGAAACGAGCCTCGTTCCCTATGCTACTGTGCGGGTTATTGGTACTGTCTGTGCGCATTTCTCCGATTCCGTTCTTGTCCGCACCTAGGGAAGTACGTGATTCTAAGGAAGCCCGTTGATCTTTTGTTTGCTGCCCTTGGATTCCCGCAATGAAAGTCTCTATACTGGCCGTCAAGTTCACGTCACTGTTTTCAGGGTCGGCTGGCCAAACTCGCTGAGCTGGCAATACGCTGACCTCTCTGCGCCCCTGGCTTCCTCTATTGTCTCCAAGCGCGATCTTCCCAGTAGATTTCCCTTTAGGGTATGTCTTGAAACCTCGGCGTTGCTCCGCTTCGCGTTGCGGCGACTCCGGTGCATCTGTTACAAACCCCGCTTGTCCGGCGGATGTGACAGAATGGATATCCGAACCTCGTGGCAATGGCGATACAAACATCTTCCAGCGTGGTCCTTGTTGCTCGGTTTGCTCACCCAGATCACCCTCGGTGGATCCCGAACAGCAAGTACCCGCCTCCCCAGTGGGAAGAAAGGCAAGGCCAGACTGTGGAGATATATCCTAGGGCATCATGGGAAAGTTCAGAGTGCTCAGAAACTGTAACGGGCAGCACAAGCCAGCAAGCTAACAGCAACTTTGTCGACCACGGCTCGTCAGTGACCGTACGCCTTGAGGGCGCTGACCGCGCGCAGATCCTTCGGGGATTAACAGGAGCTAAGCCAGTGTCCAAGCGCATTTAAAACTAAAGCAAATTGTTGTCATTTCCTAGCTAGGGGAGGCTGGGAGGAATCAATCATCTCCAGTTGGTCACTGACGACCCCTCCCGCGGTCCACGAACCCGGCAGCTGAGCTGTCCAAGACACAGCAGAGAAAGGGCTTCTCTACCCTCTCATTTCCATCTAATTAGGAAAAAAGAATAAAAAGCAGGATAATGATCCCTGATGACGCAGAAATGAATTGTGCGGATTTGGTCCACTCCAGCCCCGACATGAACTGGCCCTGCCAGCAACGGGGAAGAATTGAAGGGCCCGACGAAAGCATCAGAACATTTACATAGAGATATGCTGTTTGAAATATAAGCTTGAGGGAGGCTTCCAGGGTCGATCCAAGACATGAGACTCCACGAAGCCCGCCTGCAAGCCAGACTGACATCTGACCACGGCATGCTGACCCTTCGGCCTGCAGATTTTTCTTTCGGTTCACTGCGGCCTGTAGGCAATACGATATATGTAAAAACGAGGAGTATTTTCAGATTTCAGACTGAATCTATTACTGTAATGTTTCAGTAGAAGAGGGTGTGCAAACTAATGGACCGGATGTGGCCCCCGTGGGCGAAGGCGACGCCGCTTTCTTCAAATTTTCTTCTTCTTTACATGCATTAATCGGCTTGGCGGGATCGTGCCTGAGACAGATTATGGGGTTAGAAACAGCATGCCTTCTGCGGGGCGGCGCACACCGTAACGAGCGTACTCGGCTTCAGCCGTGGCCTGACGCAAACTGCAATTGAGTCACAGCGCAAAGGCTGAGAGTTCCGAAATATCAGCGGACCTCCACTCCAGTTTTCAGGCGCCTTGGTGACTGCGGCACCAAGGCCAAAGTTCTGGAACGGAGTTCAGGCGGCCGCCTGGAGTTGCAGCACTCGTTGGTGCCACTCCTGCCGCAAGGCAACCCTGCGTGCAAACACAACCCAGGCACGCTTTCGACGAACTCACTGATCAGACACGCTAGGCCAGCCTTGAACGCCTGCATAAGTCAAAGTAGCCAACCTGCGTGCACGTAGATGAACTTCCAACGAACCGCGTTCCACACATCCTAGTCACACTCTGTAGCATAAACGCCCTTCTGACCAGAAAGCGAGCTAATTGAACTTTAGTAATCAAAAATATGCATATACTGTAAAGAAAGCTAGCGCTGCTTTCCTCCCAAGGCCATGGTTCGTACTGGCCGCGATTCATGGTTGCCTTGTGTCTTTTCGCAAGTTTACAATTCATAGTTCCTCTTTTAGGAGATAAGTGAACTGAAGCTGAGGCTTTTGCGCTGTATGCAACTGAGGACTTGTGGTGGAGAGACGAACTCCACCTCGTGCGCAGTAGCCCATTTGTTCTGGCGTCTATGAATTGTTCCTTGCTGACAACGAGAGAAGCGCCTTTGGAGATAACGACCACCGCAGTAATTCAGTCTGGTTGCTCTTGCCCTACATATAAGCGCCTTTTGAGGTAAGGAGCATCACAGTAATTTATACTGTTTGTTCTCACCCTTCTAGGGTATTTCAATGATGGACCCAGCACTGCATTTCGCCCCGCTGCAGAAGTCTAAAATATAGGCGCAGGTGCGGGAACACGAAGGAGTATGCGAGCTCAGGTACATACGTCAACCCAGTTCACCTTGGGAGCAATGTATGCACTGGGCTGCAGCATAAATGCAAAGTGCTCTGGTCAAGTGTAGTGTCCGCGTGCCCTCGACTTCCCAGAGAACCCGTAAAGCAGTCGTCCATCCGCACTACGAACTATGTTGGGTGTGACGAGCTTCTCCATATGTACTGAAAGTTTTGCACAATGCGACTTAGCATCCAGGGACCCCGAAAAATGTCTGTAGGTTAATCAGTAAGGCCAACAACTCCCCGCGCGCCGAACGAACTGGAAAGGAACTCAGTGCATAAATTTTGTGTTGCTTGCCTGAGGCACTCAAAGAGTAGGAGCACCCACTTTTCTCAGAAAGAGCCGTCATTCCTAGCAAGAAGAGCTGTGGAAAGCATTTTACTGTAAACGGGGTAGCGTGCGGTGTAGTCCTACTTTCTATTAAGCTATCGTGGAGGGTCGTACAGACTGTTGGTAAATTCGAGCTAGCTTGCGTTGTCTGCTGTGGAGTTCCGTTTTCATAGTTGCCTAATAATTCCTTTAGAAAAATGCGATGGGCTTATATTGTGAGGGAAGAGAAACAGGTGGCCCTTTTTCGAGAAAACTATCAGGGCTCAAAATGCTGGATCGCATAATTCGTGGATGAAGAGGTGGAATGGTGTCGATAGGCTGTGCCAACTCAAAAGCTTCTTGAAGAAACGAATGTTTTTGGTGCTCTGGAAGCAAGGGCTATAGGCAAGTATGACGATCTCAAAGAAGGCTTGAGGAGCAGTGCGACTGCCCCTAAACCAGGCAGGGACTGCAGCCATGCCCTGGCCGAGTTGGAAGTTGATGCGCCCAGAACTTTCGTTGCATCCCAGTTTCGCAGGTCGTCCTTGGCAAGCAAGCGGATGAGGAACTGTCAAATACTAATTAAAACATAACTTCAGTATTTGTTACCCGCTGAGCATCGAAGCTGTGAAGCTCTGGGACTGAATGAGCTGGAGGAAAAATGCTGAATTTTAACTTGTCACGGGTGCACTAAACAAAAACGGCATCCTCAAGGTGCAGTTCTTTCGAAAGTTCAGCTTTACTGAAGAGTGCACACTGTCTCAAACACCGTTTCCCGCCGCATCCAGCTCGCTTGAGAACACGCCATACACTAAGCGTAACAAGTGCAGCAAGACAATGTAAGGAGACTGCGCTTACAAACGAAGGCTCAGATACACGGCAAAAAGGAAATAGGCGTAAGCGGCTTCTTTAGGTTTAGATGGCCTCGCTATTGAGCAAAAACCGGCTAGTTTGAAGTAGGAGCCTTTCAGGAATAGCTGCAGAAGTTAACTCCGTTTTTGATTAGCAAGGACTGCCCTTGTAAAGAAGATAGTGAACACGCCTTGTGGCTAGGCGAGGCCAAAATGATCGAAGCAGTCAGTATACGCTGCAATGCTTGAGCAATAGACCAGCCTCCTGGGATAGGTGAAAGGCCAGGAATGTAACTCGTTGAGCTGACTGCCAGTCTTACTGCATGGTTATATCCGGTCAAGCTAATCTTTTGCTTGCGCCGTATATTGTCTACACAGTTGAATACGTCTCTCCTTTTGACTCACCTAATTCATTCCTTGGTAATTGTTTACAGCGATTTGCAGAGAAAAGCCCACCAAGGTGGTCAAACTGGCGATACCCGCTTACGTTTCTGCGGCGTCAAAAGGCTGTATCTAAATCAATAATGCCAGTTAAACGCAGCCTGAGCGGTTAGTGCGCAAACATCCTACACGGTGCCGTAGTTTGGCACTCCAAACTACGGAACCACTGAAGCAAGTGAAAGGCTGTTAGTCTACGTAAATCGTCGGTGGGTAGAATTCGCAACCTCCGGGTCTGAAAGAAATGCATCATGACAAGACTGCAGTAGCAGCACGAGGATGTCTTGTGAAGACCTACTACGCAGGCTCGTCTCCATTGGCGCCCTCATGTAGCATATGTAGCCGAATCGCATCTGTTGGGCTTCCACTCTGAGTGCATTTCGAGAGAACCAAGCCGCCCCCACCAAAGTTTGGAACGGCCATGTTAAAGTGGGCTTGAAAGTGAAGAGAAACGGAAAGTGCAACCGTTCAGGATTCATTGTATAAACGCAGGGGCAAAATTGAAGAGATAAAGCCTCTAAGGCCTTTCACGTATCATGCATTGCCAATGGACATTTTGTGTCTAGCAGTCCAGCGCATGGCTCGGTGACAAACCCTGCACGCTTAGGAAAGGGGTCCGCTCGCACGGTTGATGGTCAGAAGCAGCATTATGGTCTGTTGCACTCACACAGACGGTCGCTTCTACAAGCAGCTTTCCAGATCCAGCTACAGCCGTATGCTCAACAGTTTCGTGAGTGATTACCTGACCGCCCGTACAAGGGCATCAGTACAAAAATCGCCCCCAATCTATAGTGACAGAGTATCTCATACCTTAATGCCTTGTGAAATTTGAAAGCGGACCCATGCGTAGCCTCTTGCAAATCGATGCAGGACTAAGGGAATCAGTAGAAGAATCGCCCTCAATCTATAGTGACAGAGCATCGCAAACCTTAATTCCGTGTGAAATATGCAAGTGGACCCATGTGTGGCCTCTTGCAGATCGATGCATGATTCATTTCAAACAGGCACGCTGATGCATAGAAGAGTCGCCGCTTGCGCATCGACTTACGTACTGCGTGTTCTGGGTGAAGAAGCAGCGACTGCGTCGCCGCATTAGCCGCAGGGTGAGATTTTTATGCCTCAAACTTCGGAGTCCTTTAAAAGCTGACTACACCAAAAATTGATACACTGACTACCCGTGGTTAGTGCTGCCCTGGTGACTGACTGCCAAGCTGGGTGCATGCTCGTACTAGCCCTATCTCTGCACAGTTGGCCACCTCAGGCCTGCAATCTGCGCTGTGCGAAGTGTGTAACTTCAGCTGAGTTTTAGATGGTGTGCTGTAATTTGCAACTTTTTGAGCGACGCAACACTAATTGAACCGGGCAGGCGCCGCCGTGAGCGGTGACCGCCGGTGCTGGGCGAGACCCCTGTCATTTCCTCCATGTGGTCGGCTTACTGTGTTTTCCATTTCTCCGTTTGAAGATGTCGAGACTAGAGGGATCCTGTCTCTGGCTTGCTTTGAAACCGTTGCGAGTGATGCGCTGCTGCCGCGGGCGGATCTGCCAGGCGCCATGCAATCTACCCCGCTCAACTTGAACAGATATGTGTTACTTTTCCTTTACATGGTCCAGACGTTCATGACGGGTTGCGTGTATTTTGGATGGGCCCCTCTCTCTACAATGCTACTGCGAGCGGGTGTCTTTAGTTTCAAATGCAACATTGATGAGATTGGGGCTCTTGTGGAAGGCCAAAGGGGGTTCGGCAGCAACTACATCTGCGACAAGCAAGACGCGTCCGTGCAGAGCCTTTTCGTCATTACGCTGGCCACGCACTGCACAATGAACGCACTTGCTGGTGCCATGATGGACACGCTGGGTCCCAAGATAACCTCTGCGATTGGCCAATGCTTTCACATAATCGCTTGGTCTCTCATTTCGACTCTGACGGTGGAGTCCAACGCACGCGTATACTTGGGCTTTATCTTCATGGGTCTCGGCGCAGGCACTGCTTTCTTGCCTACCCTTCTCGTTACCCGCCTCTTCCCAGGCGCCGCCCCGACCGTGATAGCACTAATTGGCTCCGCATCGTCTGCTTCCTTCGCCATCCCACTTGTTTTGGACTTATATCTAACAGAAAACGCTATTTCTGGGTGCTGGTGGTATGTTGGTTTCGGCCCCTGTCTGTTCTTGCTGATAGACCTACTTGTAATGCCTCTGAAGACGTTCGAAGTCTTCGACGCTGATTCTCCCAAAAAACAGGAAGATGTGTACATGGCAGGAAGTACACAGCTTGAGTGCCTACATTTTTCAGACAGAGAAACAGGAGTGTCTGGCTCGGCTACGGAGGCAGTGAATCCCATTCAGCCGAAGTGCCAGCTACCGCGAGAAGAGCCTGTTGAAGTCTTGTATAAGCACGCTTTCTCAAAGATCGTGTTCTCTGAGAGGTATGTACTGATTGCCACATATTTCATTGCTGTTGGATGGGCCACGGCGTTCTACCAAGAGGCTCACGACCGTATTTTAGTGCCGGCTGC